AAGTCCTAAAGTACCCTAGTTTGCTCCAGGCCTTACCCCATTTCTCATAAATTTTCAGTCTTGCACCCATCTCCTAAAGGCGGGAGGCCAGGTGGAGGAGGCATACTCTCCTGGGACTCATTAACCATAGATTGTCTCACAGGCCAGGCAGCTGCTGGTCTGATATGGAACCCATCTGAACCTGAACTTCCATCCAAAACAAAGCCCTGTCAGGTGCAGCTGCATACTATCCTGTTGATTGTTGGTCTTATTACTACCGGTTTCGGCTTTCACTGGTTTACAATCAAGCAAACCCTGATGGTTTCAACCAATTATGAAAAATGCTGAGGCTCACATCAAGTCAAGTGGGAGCCACTTGAAAAAGATATCTAATCTCACATTCCAGGTGAAATCTGTCCTTAGCCAAAAATGTCACCACTGGAGATGACATTGCCTCAGTCAAAATCACCCCAAGAGGGCCATCCCGGACTTGGGAGCACGGCAGCGCTCCCCCGAGGGTTCAGATCCCATGTGGAGACCAGTTCCCACTCACTGGCTGGGCGCAGTGCAGGTGCAACACCGAGGGTTGCGATCCCGTTACCGGTCAGTAAAAAAGACACAAAGGAAAAAAAAAAATCACCCCAAGAGGGCCATCCCGGACTTGGGAGCACGGCAGCGCTCCCCCGAGGGCTCAGATCCCATGTGGAGACCAGTTCCCACTTACTGGCTGGGCGCAGTGCAGATGCAACACCGAGGGTTGCGATCCCGTTACCGGTCAGTAAAAAAGACAAAAAGGAAAAAAAAAAATCACCCCAAGACCTCGATGGTGGAAATGACTTTGCCCCTTACCCCTACCCAGTATCCTCCACCCAGTAACGCCCACGGACTGCCTCTCCTAAGGCAGAAAATGGACACAGGACAGCTGTTTTCCCCTGAACTCACTGAATTCCTCTTATTCTCTGCTACCGTCACATTTCCTTACCTAAAGGGAACTCTGATAAAGGTTACTAAAATTAATGAAAAGGGGCTGGCCAGTTTGCTCAGCTGGTTAGAATGTGGTGCTGATAACACCAAGAGTGAGAGTTCGATCCCTGTACTGACCAGCTGCCAAAGGAAAAAAAAATGAAGAATATTGCTGTCCCCAGAAGTCACCAGGCCCATGTCAATCAACTGTTTTACCCCCTGGGGAAAGGACCACTGTATAGCTACGCGACTATACCAATTGTTGGGTTATAACAATAGCTATGCTAAAGCCAAAACGTTTCATTATATTAGTTATACTAAGTTTCCATATGTATTGTCAGCGCTAGGGCTCAAACCCTTCAAACCCATTGTACAGACTAGGTCACCAGACCCCTCACACGCAGGTCCACGCTAGGTAATTGGGAAAAATCCCAGGAGCCGTTGGCAGATGACACAAGCTCAGTCCTCAGCTTCTTCAGCAGCCTACAGCAGCAGCCGCAGTAGCCTCTGAGGGTCCCAGGGGCACTAGCAGCAAAAGTCTCCAGCAACCAGAGCGACCTCCCCATGGTCCCCCAGGGATGGACGGCCCTGTGGATCAGGGCCACTCATCCTTTATACTTAAGTCCATAACCCAGGACACCTGGGTGCACATGTGCAATTACATTAGACAATAACCAAGGGACACCTGGGTGCACGTGCATATTTACATCACATGCTCAGCAAGATTCTGAACATCTGAGGGGCCCTGACCAGTTTCCTTCAATTTCCCTACCCACTCCCTGATGTCTTTCATACTATCCCCCTCCAGCTTTCCACCACAATTTCTCTTTCCACTTACAGTCAACAGATCTCCACACTCAACTGCCTTACTTTTAAATATGATGCCCAGACACCAAGGGGTGAATTATAGTGAATGCTTATAATTTTATGTTGCCTCGGCATCTGTTTTGAATAGAAGTTTCACTTTCTTATATCAGAAGCAGGGCTCAGTCACCCTTGTCACAGTTTCCGATACTATACCCCACCCAAATGGCTCTAGCCAGTGGCCAGAGATAAAGACAAAGAGGCATCTCCCCTACCTAGCCAACTCAGCTCCCCACTTTCCCCCAGTTTCCTTTAAATGGACTAATCAGGCATTTGCCCATGAACTTAATGTGAGCCAGACCCTATTCCCTTAGATACTTTAAGGGGTTCATGGAAAGATTCATATTATCTGTCACTTCTATTTTTCCACAAACTTTTTGAAAAACCCTTGTATATGCTTCTAGTTGTCACATGCTCTCTCTCTTTGCCTGTGCTCCCTGATCTGGGTGTGTGTGTCCGTCCTCCGGGAGTGCCTTGTATCCTCTAAGTGCGAAAAACTCTTACTAAACTTTGCCATTGTGGTCGTGTCATTCAAACTGTGCTAGCAATTGACTCCTGACCCATGCAGGTGGATCCCCTGCTGGTGCTCTTTTGTCTGGGCCTGCTGGGGACAGTATTTACCAGCTCAGTTGATAGAATTTCATCCAAAACACATTCCATATGGGGAGAGTTTTGACTGCAGACAAGGGTGGTTCTACAGGTCAGCGTCTTGAACATACCACCTTTGTCTAGTGTTCTTTCCACTGCACATTCACCGCCAACGTAATTAAGTCCCTCGTTTGTGCATCCATATTGCCTCCCCTGTCTTAACTAATCCATTGCCGCATGCAAAGAGACCTTACAGCAGCACTGTCCAAGTGAAATATAATGTGAGCCACATATTTTACATTTCTAATAGCCACGTTTTAAAAAGATACAAGTAAAATTTTAATAATATATTTTATTTAACCTAGTATATCCAAAATATTATTCCAATGATCAATATAAAAAATTGAGTTTACATCCTTTTATTTGTACTGTCTTTGAAATGCAGTGCACATTTTACAGTTACAGCATATCTCAATTTGAATCAGCAATATTTTAAGGGTTTAATAGCCGTATGTGATTAGTGGCTACTATATTGGACACAATAGCCCTAGTGTGCCCAGGCTCGGGGGGTTGACAGCTACTTTGCAATTTATCTGAAAATAATCCTGTTAGAGACTTCTGGCAAAAGTTGAAGTACAGTGTACACATACTTGGCTTCTCCAGGAAATCCACTGACATGAACAAAAGAACAACAACACGGTTAGACAAGTCCGTCTACAAACAAGGAAATAACTACAACCTCTAGAACCAGGCCATACAGAAATGTGGCTCTCTAGATCTTAAGTCTATTTACAGCCAGTAGAAAGTCTATTGGCAGGCAGCTCCTGAGACGTTCTTGACTCACAGTGAGCATGGTAGAGTCAAAGGCTGTAGACACCCAAGCCCTGGTTCTGTGAGTCAAGGCTGTGTGGCTTGGGCAAGTCTCTCTGTACCTCAGGTCCCTCATCTATAAAATGGGGATCATAAAATCTAAGAAGGTTTCGAGGATTAAGTGAGGCAATACATGTAAAATACTTGGAACCATGCCTGGCCCATGTTTAACCCTTCATAAGTGTTAGCCGTTAATAACAAAAGGAAAACAAAACTAACAGCAACAGAATTCTACGGGCAGACCAAGAGGAGAGCAGGGACTGCGGATGAGGAAGGGAGGCTGGTGACACAACTGAACTCGTAAGTCATTTTTACTTTCTCCAGGTCGGGGTTCTAACTCAGTGTAGTTGCTTGGAGGTGGGAGTGAGAAGAAAAGAGAAAACCAAATCTGGTTCCTACTCGGCAACTTGCTCACCTGGAAGAAAAAAGGACAACATAGGTAACTGGGGGAGAGCGTTCCGAGGTCGCTGTGGGCAGCGGTTAGGATTCCTAGGAAACAGATGCTTTGTCTAGTGATTTTGTGCTTCACTCTGCTTAAGGGACTCTGGTCAGCACCTGCAAAGCCTGTTTTGGTGAGTCCCGCAGTCCTTCCCGATTCGGCTGGTCTTCCCCTTCTCCAGGAAGTGCTCTGTGACCTCCCCAGGCTGGGTGAAGACGCTCCTTCGTTTCCTGGCAGCCCACACGACTCCTGTCGCGGCTCGTACCGCACCCGCGGGCGCTTACTGAGCGCCTCGCCGGGCCAGTCCCGACCCTGGGAGGTTACGAGGCCCAGGCCGCGCCCCTTGCTCCACGTTCTGCAGGGGGAGGAGACAACTGCCAAAGTCTAGATTTGCGGCGGCGGCTAGGAAAAGAGGCTGTGACCCAGAGGTCCCCTGCCCGCCCTGCCTCCTGGGGAGACGCGGAGCTGTAAAGCTAGGGCTTACAGACCCCTCGAGTCTGCTGCACATATTGGGTCACGAACCCTCCACACGCAGGTCTCTGAGCGAGGTAATAGAAAAAAAAGGTTCTGGGAGCCGTGGGTATAGAAAAATGAATGGGTTTTAATTCAGATCTAGGGGCCACTGTCCGAGTGGCTTCTCTGAGAGTTCTGAGAAGCACTGTGGATCAGAGCTGTTAGTCTTTTATACTTAAGTCCACAGCCCTGGACACCTGGGTGCCCATAAACAATTTACATTAAGCAGTGACAAGGAACACCTGAGGTATTTACAGCAAATGCTCGACAAGACTCTGAACATCCAAGGGGCCCTGACATTTTCCTATTTTTCCCAACAGGAGCTCCTTGGGCTGGGGCTTGGTTCTGAAGGCCCGGCACGAGGAAGGGGGTCTCACTAAGACCCCAGTGGCCTCCGCACCCACGGTGCGTTCCTCTGCCCGCCTCAACCCCTGCCCCCTCCCGGCCTGCCAGGGGTGGCTGCCTCCGTCGCACGTCGCCGCCCCGCCGGCAGGCGGCGCCCTCCCGCCCGTCTCCCGCCGGCCCCCAGAAGGGGCGTGCGCTCTGGAAGGCTGC